TTTTCATTCTCCCATACATAACATATAACTGCAGTTTCCAGACTCTCAGCTTGAAGTTAAGACATCCCACTTTAAAGCATATTTTATGTAGATATAATTTCCATTAATAACATGAGATGGTTTATCAATATTATAATTATCATATCTGTATGCACATATCAAGAATATAATTATGATAATATAATTATTTGTGTTGTTTTTCTTTTCTTTTTTATTAAATAAAATTATTTTTTGTTTTTTGTTTTCTCTGGGAGAGGATGGAGTCTCACTATGTTGCCCAGGCTGGAGTGCTCAGGTGATTCTTCTGCCTCAGCCTCCCTAGCAGCTGGGAACTACAAGTATGCACCACCACATCTTGGCTCAGGTGGTTCTTCTGCCTCAGCCTCCCTAGCAGCTGGGAACTACAAGTATGCACCACCACATCTGGCTAATCTTTTTTGTATTTTTAGCAGAGATGGGGTTTCACCATAAATAAAATTCATAATCATGGGTCAGTTCCTTTCATGTGTGGAGTTTTGGCCAATGACATGAAATAAACTTACAGATGAGCTATGAATAATGATATTGCATTATTTTAGAGTGCGTAAGTAGATACATATAAAATTACATCAATAAAGCTATGGATTCAAAGGAAAGAATAATTGCTGTTGGGAAAAATACTTTTTGACTGTAGATCTCTAAAATTCTTTAATAGAATGAATGCTCACAGTACAAATGATGCAACATTTTCTGGTTTAAAATAATACATTAAGGAGCATATTAAACATGATCCTTCTGGAATGCTTACTCTTAATTACAAATGCCTAATCAATTATTGGCTATATATTAAATTTCTACTAGTCTAATAAAATTACATCTTATTTTTTGGACTCATTTCTTATGACGCATTCTTAAGAAAGTGAGCACTTTGGAACATGAAATTGACCTCAAAACTTCCATAAACAACTGTGTGTAACATCCTTGGGAAAAGTTTGTTGTTTAATTTGTTTTGAAGGAAGTAATTGATTTTCTTGGCAGATCTGATAAAAATAACGAAGCTTTGATTGTCTAACCTAGAGGTCATGTCCTCCTCAGAATCATCAGTGCATTACTCAGATTTAAGTGAATTCAAATTCTCCTGGGACTATATTTTGATAGATGACTACAATATGCTACCACAAAGCTCTACTACCATGAAATTACTCACATAGGCAGGTCATAAATCAGCAATGCATATATGAATGTTTATGTATACAGTTGTGTGTGCATATATACATACAAAGAGCACACAAAACAAGAATTTTCCCTAGGAAGAATAAATTAAATAGCAAGACAGACATTATGAATACTTCTCTAGTGACTTCCTTTAGTTCTGTGTACTTCCACCCTAACCAGCTTCATCAATCCTCAACTTATGAAATTTTGCAAACTTTGATCAATAGTTTTCATTTTACTATATACCATATATAAAGATAGAATTTGAAAGCAAATTAATAATGCAAATAAGATTGCAAAGTTACTTTTAACAAATTATAAAACGAAATATAATTAATTTACATGTTTCATATATTATTTCAATATATTTATTAGAAGAAGTCTAAAAGGACTTTTAATCTGCAGCAGTTGTTAGCAATAGGTGGACTAGAAAATAATAGGAAATGAATTTATTCAAAATCTTTTCCACAATTTACTTTCTAAATTAAATAGTTCATATTATCATTTTCCTTCGTCCAAATTAATATAATTTGGGAACTGATAAATTAAATAGATAATGCAGGCCTAGTAAACATTGATTCAATAAAGCTTGTGAAATAAACATCTTTAGTATCCACAATATCCTTGTCAAACTCCAAGACAAGTTCAAAGAAATAAACTTTTATCTACCTAGTGCTGGTCACATAATATTGTGAGCATTACATCCAGTTCTGAGCACTATATTTAAAGACATACACTCTCAAATCAAAGTCATTTAAAGGAGATCAAATGGAATGGTGAGAAATCTCGAAAGCAAATCAGGCTGTAGATGACATGGTGAAGCATTTGAGGATGTAGACTCTGCTGCAAGAAATAAGGGAGTTTAAAAGCAAGTTCCATCACTGACTAGCACTTGACCCTTGCAAGCACTTTAATTCTTGTGGCCATTACTTGGGTGCTCCTCTGTAAAGTGATGCTCTTCATAAATATTCATAAGTGTTCTGTGATAGTTAAAGAAATTGTGCATAACAAAATTAGGAAGGTATTTAATATTAGTTAATATTATTATTTTTCTATTATATTACCAACTGGCTTCTCCAAAAAGAAACTCATGGTAAAGTAATAAATAATTTTAAAGTATTTTTAGGGATGTTCTTATGAAAGAGATTTATTCATTTTTGGACCAGAGGCAGTCGATTTATCTTACATTGAAGAAGATTCTCACAGCATGAAACGCTTGAAAATTAAATAAGCTACCCTAAGAAGCAGTCAGTTCCCTGACATTACTCTTCTTTAAGCAGCAGGTAGAAACCTGTAGAGCAGGGATGTGTTAAGAGGAACTTCTACTCTGATTAAAATGTTATACTGACAATATTTCCTCCTAATATTCATGATTCTATAACTTAATTATTTTTTTCAGTTTTGGCACCAGTGTTCTTCACAAAGCAACTGATTAATTCTGCTTGATTTGTCCAAGTAGAAGTTTAGGTTCTAGTTCAAACACAGCATAGAAGAGTGGGAGAAAACGCCAAACTGCCAATATGATAATTGGGAAATGGCTTGAAAGCCTTCCATTCTATATATTTACAGCAACAAGGAGTAGGTACTGACTGTGATGCTGATGCCAAGAAGATGGCTTTAGGCTAAAATAATAGATGCTTTAGTTTGTTCTTTTGAATTGTTGCTAATTCTTTAACATACAGAACCACACTACAGACAGAGTGAGAGAAAAGCAGGATAGGAAAATCCCAGAAGTAAAGTTAATTACTTCATAAAGTTCTCAAAGATAAAAGAGGCAACAGTGGGGAAAGAAGAGCACTTTTAAGCAATTCCATAAAACGAAAGATTTTCCCAGTGAAGAAGATACAGAAGGAGTGGTTTAAAGGTGAAATAGATGAGAAAAAAACACTGCCACGGTCAGTCACTAAAGTCAGCTCTAGCAGCAAAGCACAGTGCTGAGCTAATGACAATTTGAGCTGCAATTAAAAAAAAAAGTTTAGAATCCAGGTCACAGAAAAGAATCAGCCACTGTCTTCTGTATAGCATAGACCACATATGGGTATTATATTTAATTTTGCGCATGATATTTTAAGACAAACACTGACCTAGATTTGGTCTAGAAGAGAAGATGCAAAACAGGAAATTGTTTGGAATCATGTCATAGACTGAATGGTTAAAAAAACTAAAGACAAACTTTCAAAAGAGAATATAGGTCCCTTAAGATATTTGAAGGATTCTCATGTAAAAATACTGTTTACATTACCCCAGAAGGCTGAAGGGAGTAGGCAACTAGTGCTTACCCACAATAGAAGGAACCATCTCTTGAAGCAGATATTCCTTGCTGCTGAATATATCCAGGTAGACACTGGTGGATGGAAACTGAATTAGACGATGAAGATCTAAATTCATAATTTCTATTTTAAAATAGCAGCTTGTCTCATGTAAAAGAGATGGAGGATTAATTCTAGACTAGAGCCACTCACATGACATCCTAAGTATTAGTATTATATCCAGTTCTGAGCACTGTGTTTAAGAGGCACATTCTCAAATCAGTTCTAGACAGTGGCTCCCCATTATTTTGTAGTGATTCCAAATCTATTTATTGAAGCTTTCAGATATGTATACGGTGGGAGAAAGGAAATATGAATGATAAATCTGCAGATTTCAGAATAGTGAGAAGGAGGCAAAAGACCACAGGGAGTAGATGGGAAGAGGTCACTGAAATCAACCAAGAGTGCAGTAAAATAGCATATATGGAAGAGAAGAGACAGAAGTCAGATCAGGCTGTTAGTAATATCTCATTCAACAATTGTTTATTCAAGGACTTCATCATGTTCCGAGGTTCTCTTCTAAGGCTACAACGGCAAGCAAAAACACTAAGGATATTCTGACTTACTGTTTAAGTCTCTAGATCCAGAGAAAAGATGGACTTTTAAATCTTGAAAAGATTCATTTAAAGGAAATCTCAATCAACTAACTAAGAACCACCACTTAAAATTATTCTGTTTTAGTGGAACACATTGATTTTAAGACAGCAGTACTTATGAAAAGTATAATATCGAATGGGGAAATTTTAGAAGTTTGTATTAATTTGGATGGGATAGAAATCATATGATGGGCAGAAATGATAATAAAATATAAGATAATTATATGAAAGTAAGAGGGACATTATTTTGAAAGTATCACAGACTTTAGAAATGGCATATTTTTTCCAATGTAAAGGAAATATAAATTTTTACATTAAAAAATCCATTACTATTTATTTTACCTTTTATTGAATAAATCAACTACAACTTTTTTTTTTTTTTTTTTTAGTTTGCCAAAATACTTTTAGGTTATTTTCACCTCTAAGTCTTTGCTATAAATAATTTTCAAAATTTCCAAACTCCAAATTGTTTTGATTGATCTTAGAACTCTAAACAGGATAACATAATTTTTTTCCCACTCAAATATTTTTTAAACTGTTATTGCTTGTTAGTATAGAATAAAATATGCATAGAATTAGCATGAAAACATTTTCATTGGTTTTATTCACACATTTTTAAAATCTGCTTAAAGACAGTGGACCCTTATCTAACTCTGTTTTGTTCCTTTCTTTGTTCACATATTAGTACCATAGGTTACGTCAACTAAGTTCTGGAGATAAATTGCTACACTAGTGCTGGAAGGTAAGCCTCCTACACTGGCTTGTTAAGCCTTGTCAGCAATTTTATTTTATGTATAATTTTTATTCAACTACAACATGCAAACAAAAATGTGCACACATCATAAATGTACAATGTAAAAACTTTACAAAAATTGAACACACTAAGCTACCGCCACTAAGATTAAGAAACAAGCATTATCAACACTTCAAAACCCCCCTCTTTCCCACTCCCAGACACCAGTTCCTCATACATCACTACTATTTTGACTATTAACACAAAAGTTTAGCTTTGTCCCTTCGTAAATGAAATTGAAAAAAGTGTTCTCTTGTGTCTGAACTTTTTCACTCAAAATTTTGTTTGTGAGATCTATGCATTGAACAGTACACTGTTTTAGTTCATTCTCACTGTTGTATAATATTCTGTGATATGAATATACTGTCATTTATCCATTCTATTCTTAATGGATATTTGGTTTGTTTCTATAAGGGATATTAACAATAGAACATTCATATAGTTGTCTTTTGATGAACATATGGATGTACCCTGTTGGGTACATTCAAGGAAGTAAAATTTATGGGTCATAGCTGTATATGAATTTAGCTTTAGTAAATGTCAAAGCATTTCCCAAAGAAGTTGTACCAATATTCCTTTCTTACTAGCATTATGTATTTGCCCTTCACCCTTGCCAACACTGGGTATGCTCAGTCTACTTCATTTTAGCCATTCTGTTCAAGGTGTTGTGGTATCAAACTGTGGTCTTCATTTGCATTTCCCTGATGAATAGTCAGTTTAATCACCTCCTTATTTGTTTACTAGCCATTGGGATGTTCTTTTTGGTGAGCATCCTATTCAAATATTTGCTCACTGTTCTATGGTCCTCTGTATTTATCCCACCCTGTGGCTTTCCTTTTCATTTTCTTATTGGTGTCTGTTGATTAATTAAGAAGTTCTTAATTTTTGTGTTGTTCAATTTAGCAATATTTCTCTATGGATTCTGTTTTTCAAATTCTCATTCTGTCTTCCATGAGATAAGCTTGCCAATTTTTTTAAATTATTGTTCTCATATTGTAATGTTGGGGTTCAGGAACTCCGGGGGAGCCCTCAGTTCTCCTGACAGGACGTTTCTCCAGGTTCTAGGTCTATCACTCCCCAAAGATCGAAGAGGAGACCACGGCACAGTGTGCAGTAAATGCCGGACTCAAAAGTGTTTGTAGAAAGTGATTTATTTAGGTAGAGAGAAAGAAACAGCAATCTCTCACACCGAGTGAGAGAAAAAGCCGCTCTCACACTGAGTGAGAAGGGTTCCCAGAAGGGGGAAAACCAGAGAAGGAAAGCTCCTCTCACACGGAGTGAGAGAATCCAGAAAGATGGAATCCAGGAGAGGAAAGCAGCTTCCACACTGAATGGAAGGAAATTGAAAGAGAGAGAGTTTAGGAGGGGAAGACACGTTTCCATGAGAGAGTGTGGAAGGGGACTCCAGAGGGGAAATACAGGAGAGAGAAAGACGGCTTCCATGAAGGAAGTGTTCATGGAAGGGGACCCAAACATGGAGTCTGAAGGGGTGTGGAAGAAGGGGACGTTTAACCTAGGAGGAACCCCCAACTTCTCCAAGACCTCTGGCCAATGAAAGGAGTTCCTTGGAACTTCCTCTGGAATAATTGACTTTTGGTTCTTCCCATGCCCACGAAATTTAAACATAAACAAATCTTCCAGATGGAGAGTGATGGCAGGGGCATGGCACTGGGAAGTTCTAGCCCTTAAAACTACGCCCCCTTGTGGACCTGGAAAGGGAACACATTCTCTCAATATCATTGGCCAAAATACATAATGTTGACAATCCAGAAAGAATTTAGACATGTGGCTAATACCGAGCCATTGCAATTTGACTTGTGTTATATAATGTGAAATAGTCTCTGGGCATAATAATTAAGGAATTATTTATGAATTCATGGTATTCTCAAACCTTAGAAGAAATTTATTTTTAAGCTCTTTTGTCTTCCATTTGGTATATATATGGAAAAAAACAATGTATTGGTAGTATATCTTCAGTTTCATATTTTTTTCTAAGGATGAAAAATTGAGGAGTTATCTCATTATTATCAGGAATGCTCCTGGTTATCTTTGTAGATTGAGGGCCTTATCTAAGCAACATTAACCTTAGATGTAACTTGAAACTCATAGATGCTTTGATGATTTCCATCAAGGATGATAGTTTGCATGAACATTAACAAATTCACCAATTTTCAAGTTTCTATTTTCTTACATAAATTATTAGCTCAGAAGAAGTAATGTCTCCTACCAGAATTTGAAATAAATTCTCTACTTAGTGATAAATCAAGTGAGTTTAACAGTTGGTTTAAACCAATAAAGTATAAACTATTTATTGGTTTATACTTTAGCCATTTATTGGTTTAAACCAATAAATGTATACTAATATTAATTAGTATACACTACCAGAAATCAATGTTAATATTAATATTGTTAGATATATTTCTGTAACTGAAATGTTAAAGATCTTTCACAGGACTAAAACTTTGTTTTGAAATGTTTATTCTTTATTCTATTCATTTACATACACAATTAAATGATAGCAAGTTTTCTCAGAAGTCTTAATGTTTTTTCTGGATGCTATAAAAGTTGCCAAACCAGTCTTTGTCACTGAAGGAAGTTGTGTCAGTTTTAAGCTTTGTAAAACTAATATTTTATCATTGTTTAAATATCAGTACTTGAAGTCAGTTCACAAATCAGAGATTTTATTTATCCTCATTATTAAAGATTGCCATATGTATTCTTATTGCTATTTATTACAAGAAAAAAAATTATGCTCTTCAATCTGTGGTATAGATATTATTTAAATGTTTTAATTCAAATAACAATTTAGTTATTGTAGTGTTACATGTAATCTTTCACTCAGTTCACATTTGAAAGCTGCCTAAATCCATTTTCACACAGGAAAGATAAAAAGTTACATGTAATTTTTTATCACAGGATTTTTTATCTTGCATTATAATTCAGTTATATTCATTACACAAGGGCTCAAAAAGAGAAAATAGTAAGCATGGCTGGGGTGGCACAAAGACTTGTACTTTGAAGCTTACCTTGACAGTGTACCTGAGACCTCTTAAAAACGAAGAGGAACCTGCAAAATGTAAATTAATGCTTGAAATCTATAAAGAGTCAATATAAGAAAAAAAACAAAACAAAAAAATTGACCAGCCTCTAGAACAATGAATCACTGAAGAATACAAAATCAGGGCAGTAACAACATTTCAAGGTCATAATTTTTAGTGCTTTTCCAGATTCACTAAATATAAATTTTAAGAGTAATTCATGTGGGCAAAGCCATATCTGATATGATGGGATAGAGACTTTTACTAATTCGAAGTTATGTCACCATTCTACTGGATGAAACAACTTACCTTATTAAGAGTTTATATGACATAATGTCTACTTAGTTCATCAATTATTTATTTGTTACTGTAGGCAAGGCTACTGAAATTGATGCACAACTGAAAAAGATATCTCCTTCCTCAATTAATTTAAAAAAGCAAGGAAGAATAAAACACCTTGTAAAGAAATGACTATATTTCAAAAACTATGTATGTACATATAAATATATTTCAAACTGTGTATATATAGTTTTAGAAATATAGCGGTATATACAATGTGCACACACATATGTTTCAAAAGCTAGGTTCTTTACATACATTTTCTCATGTAATCATTGCAATCATGAGAAAGAGGTATTTCTTCTTCTATTACATGTATAAATAAGCTAACGTTCCGTGTAAGTGGCATGCCCTAAATCATATAGTTAGAAAGTAGAATCTAATTCTGTATGGCTTCAATGACCTCTTCACAACATCATTTTATACTATAATCTACAAGAAATGCCTTAAATGCTACACCAATAAAGTGCTACAATAATACAAAGATAGCAAACAGCACAAGATTGTAAATGAATGGTAAGATCAAGAAAGGTTTTCATAGAAGGGCTCTTCCACAAGGTACTTAGAAGTAGGATTGGAGAACAGAATAGACACTCTTTCAGAAAGGGGTATTAGAGGAATAGAGATGAGAAATTAAAGAGAAAGTCTTGAGAATTGATTTTTTAAAAATCAATCAAACAAAAATCTCAGACAAAATATCAACCAAACAAAAGACCATTTCAGTAAATGTATAAACGGACTCCCTCACATGCATTTTGCTGTCCCCCATCTTTCTACATTGCAGCCAGGCTGATCTCGAAAAACACAAATCTGACATCTCACTATTCTGTTTGAAACCTTCCCGGACTGCATTAGCCTTTAGGGTAAAGTCCAATAAAAAGCTCACAAGCCTGCAGGATCAGGGCCTCTTTCCTTTGTCACTTCACATTTTCACCATAGGGACTCTACTTTAATTCCTTAACCACCACTCTCTTTTGGGCCTCAGGTTCTATTGAACACTGCCCCCTCTGCCAGAAATGTGTTTCTCTTCTTTCTGTGCACTTGTTCGAGCCTATTTTTCTCAGACTCTAAACTCCTTAAAGGCAGAGATCATATGTTTGTCTTACCTGCTGCATTTACCAGAACCGCTGACTCCGATTTTTATTTTTTCAACCAACATAGGGAACTATGCACTATGAAAGACCCTTTGGAAAGTGCCACTTATGGGCCCTAAAAGCCCTGGCATTTCCAGGTAACAATTCTTCCTTGTCTCAGGAAGAGATGGAATTAAAGGATTACTAACTCTTGTTCTCGAGCAAGATTTCTGGATTTCTAAGCCCCTTCCAAAATATGGGATGAAAAGCTCTAATAAAGGAAGAGACTACGCCATATTTTATTATATTTATGTCTCTGTGTTGAGAAATTTTGATTCTTTGGTAGAGAAAAATCCAAACCAGATGAAATAAGAATGTTGTGACTGAAGATTACTAAGAAACATTAATATCTGCCAAGAAGATATAATAAAAGGGGTCAGAACACTCCCTAGGAACAATTGCCTAGTTGAGCTGACAAAGGTTTGACAATCTAAAGGGCAATCCCATTGTCTCCCATCCCATAGCCAAGGTAGGGCACCCAGCTCTGGGGACCCTGTTGGTCCTATAATTACAGCACATCACCTTTCAAAAGGAGAAACACACAAATAATAGGTACACTGGAACAATTTTATATAAGAAATGATCATTTAAAAAAAAACCTTTGGTCCAATGTCTACCCTTAAATTTTTTGTGATTTTTTTTTTTTTTTGATGCATTGAAACAAAAAAGAATAAAAGTAGTCCTACCCAGAGATGGCAGGCAGCCCTAATTTGGATAAGCTACAGATTACCATGTGCTTAGCCTATAATAATCCTTTCATAAATATTTGTTGAATGAATAAATAGATTTATCAGCAGAGGTTATGTCAGCCTAACTGGGTATCTAACAAATGGCTTAGGCATAGTAACTTGTTAAATCCATAAATACATTGGGCCATATATAAATAAACTCTATATAAATACAGAGTTGTTATAAAAATGTTGGGCATTTTAACGGTATTTTCAACTTGGTTAAATTTTTTCAAACTGACAAATTCTCACATCATAAACATGGATGCTCAGTATTATGGTTTCAATTTACTATTATTTTATAGCCTAAGAATTGAATTTTGCTTGGATAATTTGTTTTCTGAGTCTTGTTTTTTTTTTTTTTTTTTTTTTTTTTTTTTTTTTTTTTGAGACGGAGTTTCGCTCTTGTTACCCAGGCTGGAGTGCAATGCCGATCTCGGCTCACCGCAACCTCCGCCTCCCGGGTTCAGGCAATTCTCCTGCCTCAGCCTCCTGAGTAGCTGGGATTACAGGCACGCGCCACCATGCCCAGCTAATGTTTTGTATTTTTAGTAGAGACGGGGTTTCACCATGTTGACCAGGATGGTCTCGATCTCTTGACCTCGTGATCCACCCGCCTCAGCCTCCCAAAGTGCTGGGATTACAGGCTTGAGCCACCGCGCCCGGCCTTCGAGTCTTGTTTTTGTGGGAGATAGGAGTGATGGGAAGGAGAAATGAT